TTATCTATCGTATACAAATTACCACTTTAGTCTGTTATTTGAAATTAGCATCTTCAACTATAACTATAAGTCACTATTTGGTCTCTTATTTCATCAACATGGTCACCAAAATCACTATTTTTAACAGCAGTGATTGCTACCAGCCCTGAATGACAGAAGTGACAAAGGCTATCCGATGACCCTAGAACAGATTCCGGAAGCCCCGGGGAATTAACCGGTCTCTTATTGCAACAGAAAACAGCATCCGCTGAAACTAGAGAAAGACCATTTCCTCAGGGGCCTCCGGAACCTATTCCAAGGACATTGGGTGGCCATTGTCATTTTTCTCAATTGGTGTGGTCTATTATGCATTGTCCATGAATTTCTGAAAAATTTGATGTGCCCGCACGTCTGGTTTTGTTGAAATCAGAGAACGGCCACTTCTAAAGGGGTTTCCGGATCCTGTTCCAGGGACATAGGGGGGTCATTGTCACTCTTATCATTTGGTATAGTCTTTAATGAAATGTCCATCAAATTCTGAAAATTTTGATATGTCGCATGGCTAGTTTTTGTTGACATTAAGGATGGCCTCTTCTTCTGGGGCTTCCGGTACCTGTTCCAGGGACTTTGGGTGGTCCACTGTAGAATTCATGTACGCCGTCTTTCAATTCTTATCTAAACCTACAACTTTGCAGAACATTGTTTGGTTCTATCTTATAGGGAATCCGTTTATTATCGGGGTTGGAAACCGAACTTTTTGTCAGTGCAAACCTCAACCTGAGCTAGGTTTTAAAAACAAACGAGTAAACTGACGTTTGTCAGAAAACAAGCAGACCCAATCTTGATACCCGATCCAGGTTGGAACTGAATAATAAACGAATTCGCTAATATTGTCTGAGCTTCGCAAAAAGCGTGGGTTACCCGGGTACCCCGTCATCCGTTTAAAGGGTACAGTGGCGTCGCCCTAACCCCAATCTACCGATTCAACAACTCTCAAAACGTAAACAAATACAAAGATAATGCTTTGAATCGATACATATCAGTGAAACTAGAAGATCCTATGCATTTTGAGGCCGATTTGAATATAAATATTGCTCTAAATAACGTTTGAACTGGTAAAAAGTGAGGTTACGCGACGCCACTGCAAATAGTACATGGCCCCTGATTAGCCCCTCCTTCACCCACATTTCTTGAACTTTCACCAGATCGTTTGTGTTAGTATTTGACAACATGTCAGACAGCTTAATAGCGACAAACATCACGTACATGATTTTATTTCAACTCAAAAGGAAATTTTCAGATATCTGTAGAATTACAAGATTCTGCACACAATTCACGCATACAGCATCTAATTGTTGGGTAGGCACACAACTAAAAAGTGAGGTTACACTACGTCACTTTATGTACTTTATACCCGCTGGATCTACTCTAGAGGTTCCGTTGATAATTAGGAATCAATGTAGATTGCCTTTGACATCCATTAAAATTGCTTGTTGTGTTCCCTGGACTTGCCGAAGAAGTCATGTAGGTTTATTTAATTTACGATTACCCTGGATTTTCCTCTGAACTAGCTTTTTATAGTCTTCTGGGGTTTTATTGTTCCAAAAATCTACCAAAAATTTTCATGCGGAGGTCATCTGGAAATCAGCTGATGTTAAAATTGAAGTCCACTGGGTAAAGTTCTCCATCGTCGATGTCATCCGAAGCCGATATCAACAGAAATTCGAGAACGTAATTGCAGGGCTGGTAGCGAGTCACTTTTGAGTGACTTGGTCACTTTTTTTTTCAAGCCAGTCACTAAAAAGTCTCTTTTTTTAAAACCAAGTTACTTAAGTCACTTTTTCTTGTAATGAGTCGCTATTTTAAACTTTTTTAAACGTGAATTTATTTCAAAATTGATCATTCTTCTGAATAGGCCTACATTTTGTTATAATTTTTGAACAATTCGAAGATGACTACCTTGTATAGAGTTTTTTTTTACGTTTAATCGTTCTTCTCTATCTACAGGGTGTCCACTCCACTTGGCTAAATAAAGTTCCCTGAGTTTTGAAGTTCTATTGATCTCAGAAAAGCTAGATCTAGAGATCTTTGGGGAATTCCAGAGATCTTAAGGGGAAGTCCCCGAAACTTTAGCCCACACTATTGAATTGATTTAAAAATATATAAGCGTGAGTTTAGACAAATTCAGATTATTTCCATGATGTGCTGAAATAAAAAGGCTTTCCAGGAAAAATTGGTGATTTAAGGCAATGTTCCGGAAAATTGTAGAACTTAAAGGCAATTAAATCGATTCCAGTAAATTGGTGGATTCTTTTAAAAAAAAAAAACTAAGATATTCAGAGCAGTCTAGAGAATTTTAAGGAAATTGAGAAATATTTTGGGAGTGTTTAAAAACATCAGGAAACTCTAGACTACTGAAGAAGTTATGAATTAGTTTCGATAATTTGAACTTCAGAAAAACCTTGAGAACTTCAGTGAAAATCATAGAACTATATTATTATATAATATTAATTATTTCGCTGCGGAAGTTTAACGAAGTTCCTGAAATTTCAGAATAACTAAAATTTCAAGAAGTTCCCAGATTTTCAGAGAACTTTAGAGATGTTAAGAAAATTATTGAAGTTTTCACATAAGTCCAGAAGTTGTGAATTTAATTGAATAAGTCTGAATAATATCAAACATTCATTTTGTATGCCATCAGAACGACTAATTTTCTACCCTTAGGTCACTTTTTAGTCACTTTTTTGTACAACTATAAGTCACTATTTGGTCACTTATTTCTTCAACATGGTCACTAAAATCAGTATTTTTGACAGCATTGATTGCTACCAGCCCTGTAATTGGAGGTGGGTCGACCACACAGTACGAAAGTGCAGAACCGAAATCTGTACTCAAGCGCTGGATTGGATTCCGGTAGGGCATCGCAGCAGAAGCAGAGCCATGAGCGATAGCTCAATTAAAAAAAAATCGATCAAATTGACAGAAACTTGCCATGGACCCAGGTCAAGTCGGTTTCAAGCAGTCAACCAGGATACTTGAGTTGAATGAGCTAGGGCAGATCCAGATCACACCAGAGTCAAGATCTAAAACATTTATAGCGCAAATCTTACATCCTAAATCTCCCATGTTTTTTTTTAGGTTTTGAAGCATTATACAAGTCTAAATCATGGTCTAAAGAACTCTCATAGAACCAAAATTGTTACTGGGATTGGCTCCGGGGTTCTCTGGATTTATCCTCCGAATCTTGCTTATCCAACATCATCCGTGCTTGCCTTTGAAATCCTGTTGACTTGTAGGGAGATTTCGTGTTTATGGTTTTCTCAGTCTAGGGTAATCCAAACGGTCTGTTATGCATTGCCCGACGTTTTGGCCGTTCATTGTGGCCTTGAAAAAGGCCACAATGAACGGCCAAAACGTGAAACAGAAAAGTACTATAAAATTGTGCTAGATATTCCAAGAGATACTCTAGATTGATCCATAAGGTTCTCTTAGCGTCGCTGTAACCTCAATCTATAGGTGCACCAATTTTTGAATTTAAAGTAAATCATACTCGAAATTAACAGATAGGGGAAATGTATGTAATGTCGGCCTAAATGTCCCTAATTTGGGCCCATCCATAAATTCAGCAATCGACTAAATTTTCAATACCGACCGAAAATATCCATTAGTACTGTAACAATGACACGTTCATCTAGATAAAATTGATAAATAGCAGATTTTTAGCGATGGGCCCAATCTTAGATCCATAAGCCAACATTATAGCCATTTCCCCTATAAGTGAAGATTCTACAAACAACACACCGTCACTTTTTGCATTTTATGTCATTTTGATCTACTCTCGAGTTCCTGTTCATATGTAAGGGTCTATATGGATTGCCTTCGAGGTCCACTGAACTTGCTAAGTGTTCCCTGGACATTCCTACGGAGTTCTATGAACTTAATATATAAGTCTTTTAGGGATTCCTTGAACACTAGCACTAGCCCATTTAGGTCTTTGAATTTGTAATTGCTAGACTCACGTTGAAATCACTAACCTCTCTCGCAACTAGGTATACAAATGACTTCCCACCGAGGTCATCTGGGCGTGTCCTGGAAGTTCTCTGAAGTTACAATTTAAGTCAACTGAACATATCAATAATGTCCTCTTAGGCTTGCCCACTACCTAATCAACAATGTGCCACGTAGACTATAATATAGAATTAAATAATGCTTTAAAACCTTGTTAAAACTTGTAATACTGCTCATTAAGATCTCTAGACTTTTCTTTGAAATTCTCTTGATTTACCAATGCGGACTTGTCCTAGAGTTGCCCACTCAATCGTTCGTGTCCATTGAGTCCTTTATCTTTTTGGTTCTTCATAGTTGACCTTGGGGGTATGACCACTGCAACCAGTACGTTGATCTATTGTTCGTGTACTTCGTTTACTCTTTTGTTGTTGTACGCTATCACAAGTGTTTAGAATCAGATTTCGGTAAATTTTACACAGTTGCACCATTGAGAGGTAATCTTCTAAAATGTATCTACGGTTCCGAACTATCACGGTTGTAGGACAAAAAATCGTATAGACAATAGGTTCATGCACAAAATTAGTATGAAATCTAGGAGAACCCAAGTTCAAATCGATAAGTTTTCCAAAAGGATGAATGAAAGCTAGGAAAACAAAAGATCGAATTGGCATATTTTTATTCCTCTACACTCTATTTCAATTCTACTCAGTGACTGAGTAGTATTGCCCTCTTTTTCTCTCACGGACATTTTACTCAGTTGCTGTTCAAAAGGGAGATTACCCAGTCATTGAGTAAGTTCCCTTTTGAACTGCAGCTGAGTAAAATTTCCGCGAAAGAAAAAATGAAATAGAGTGTAAATTTCACTAGACCTTTTGTCCATTCGACAATAAGTATGTTAAATTTTTATCGTAGATTCACTGTTACTTCAGTAGCCGCAAAAACACTTCCAAGAATTTAAAGAATTAATAGACATACTTATTCCTATAAATGCTAAAAAAAACCAGAACACTTACTTATCAACCAGTGGTCCACTGTAGTCTTCCGGGAACTTCGGTGTAAACGGCAGGATGTACTTGTACAGTCGTTCGTTCAGGACGTACAGCTGCGCCGTGGTAGAGCACTTGACGTTGAACCACCAATCACAGGTCAGGGCAACCTAATTGGAATAGAATTTGCTTTGTTAAAAATAAGAAAACCAAATTCCCTGCCATTCGCAAACCCAACTCACCTGACTGAAGATGGTTCCATTCGGGCAGAGGAAGGACGCCTTGCCGCCGTTCAGATCACAGTAGTGCCAAACCTGACAGTTGGTTTGCGGATCACCGAAGAAGCCCTTGTACCGTTGTTCCTTGCAGCTGAAACTGGTTTCCGGAATTTCAGAATAGTTCGGATAGTCGATACCCGGTCGGCCGGAGTTCGGTCCCGGCGATGTCGGTCCCAGTTCCGGATGATGCGGCATGTAGGGACCCGAATCGGACTGGTCATCGTCATCGTTGTGAGTGGCTGGTTTTTTAGTGGGTTTCGGTGGCTTCACATGTGGCGCCGGATGATGGTCGTACTCTTCGGTGGTGAACTCTTGCTCCGGTTGCTGATGGACTTGCTGCGATGCTTTGAGGTTGTTCAGGATCTTCACCAGCGTTCGGATGGAGTTGTCTATGTTGTCTGGAGTCAGCGTTTTTGGGAGGTGGTTACTGTCTTGAAGTTTCTTGAGTAGATCGGCGAGCGATGTCGATCCGGATGCACTGGCACTGTCGATGATTTGCGTAGAACTGACGGGGTGGGGCGGGGGATAAGGCTTGGCTGGGGTGTTATGTTGATACACGGGACGGGGCTTCTCCTCGTGATGGGCTGGTAGTAGTTTGGTAGTTTTGGCTGGTTTTGAGAGTGGAATGTAGCCACCTTGAGTGTAGAAGTTCTGTTTGACTTGTGCTTTGTAGTCGGCCTGCTGATCGAAGTAGTTTGGACTTGGGGACCGGATATCGGCTGGGTTGAGGCTCTCGGTGAGGTGTTGGCGGATGGGAGGTGCCTTGGTTGAAGCGCGGTGGTGTTTGTATGGTGGGGGCTTCTGGCGAGCGGAATACTTTGGTCGAGGAGTTGTTGGGATCGGAGGTGGTGGAGCTGGAGTACTACCCGAAAGTGGGATGTAGGGAGAGTAGTTCTCCTTGAGAATCGAAGCGGGATGGGGACGCGGAGTTGAGTACTCGACGCGCTGTGGGATATTCCGTGGAGTTGAGTATTCTACGGCTACAGGAATCGGCACGGGTATTGGCTTTGAACCAGGTCTGTATAGGTCGGAGTCATCTAGGTAACTCGGTTTGTGGACAGAGATTGGCTTAGGACCTGGCTTGTATATGATGTGTTCTTCCAGGTAGCTTGGCTTCGACACGGCTACCGGTTTCGGAAGGGTCTTGTAGATTTCAAGCTCGTGATCGTAGCTGGGCTTGGGAATGGGTTTCGGGTTGTAGACCTGGTCCTGATCTTCGTGGTAGCTTGGCTTTTCCTTGTAAGTTGCGTATGAGCCGGAACCAGTTGAAGGTCTTGCAGGCTTCTCGTGGTAGTACAGTTGATTTGGCTCGGGTGATGGTTTGACCAGTACGTAGGTGGTTTGGAACTTCGGGCCGCTGTAGCTTGGCGACGGAGTTGGTCGGGGAACTGGTTTGAGGTCCACTTCTTCTTCTTCTTCGCTTTCATCTTGTACAATGTGCTGTCCGTTGGGCGATGAGCCACCGCTGTTGTAGGTAAGCGGGGTAAAGGCACCGGGCAGTTTGTTGGAAGGCAGGAACGGATTGATCTGGTATTTTTTGTACACGGTGGCGGGTTGATACTGTGGAAGATTTCCGGAATTAATTCAGGTGCTGAACTGTACATATGCGTGAATTAAATTTATTTGTTTTATTATCAAAAAGATCCATATAGCAGTTGGTAATTAGGCCATTTTGACTCTCGCCAAATTTCGATATTTTTCAATAAATCATAGCATCAAAACGTCTCTTCTAATCAAAATGATATCTGAAACAAGGTTGTAGGAAACTGGATTGCCTTTTCAGAAAAAAATACGCACTGAAAATAAAATCACAAATTTTCAAACAATTATGGCAAAGGTTACAATTTAACTACTAAAAACTCTACGCTCCTCTAACTTAAAAAAACAGGTAGGTTAATAAACCTGAGTACCTATGCGCTTATCTTACTGGATACAGCATAACAAACATTTTTAATAATTATTTCTAGGAAGTCCTGAAAATGTATTGCGTGAAGATTGAATACCTCAGATCTGAAGTCCGGAAACCATTAAGCAATGTAAGTCCATGATCTAAGAATTTTTCTAAGTAGGCATGTGATCTGGGACGCTTTCTAAGCCTGAGAGTAACAACTTGAGTTCAAACATGATTGACAATTACCTTAATCGGACTTCTTGTCGCTATGGCCGGTGGAGTTGGTGTGGCGGTCAAACCAGATTCTCCAACGCTGTTACTGCTGCTGCTGCTGCTGCTACTGCTAAATCCATTTGGTAGAATCGATGGTTGTGGTTTCGGTATGGTCGCCGGTGGCTGAATTTCAATCGCATACAACTTCGAGGGTGGAGACTGCTGTTGTTGATATTGCTGATACTGATGCTGATGCTGTTGATGCTGTTGTTGCTGTTGTTGTAGCTGACCACGAGTGTTGTACAGAAAAGCCAGATTTGGGTCACGGCCTCCACCTGATCCGGAGTTACTGCTGCTGCTGCTGCTGCCGCTGCTACCGGAGGACGACGAAGATGGGGACGGAGCTAATTGATGGCGGTGTGAGTATTCGTACTTGATTGGAGAGTTATTTATCAGAATGGTCTTGAATGAGTTTCCTTGAGAGGATCCAGATGGAGAAGATGACGCTGATAAAGAGGACTGATAGCGTGTTGATTGATGGATCTGCGGTTGATAGGATTGGTACACCAGGGGCGGTTCCCCTCCGAGGCCGCTCTGCTGCTGCGGGTGACGCTGGTATTGTTGAAGTGACAATATTTGCTGCTTGCTACCATGCTGGCCGTGGTGAAGGTGTGACTGTTGCGGTTCCTGAGGTCGCTGTGTCCGCTGAAAATATTGCGAAACGAAATCCGGTTTTAAATTTAATTATTATTCTCTTTCAGTCACCGCAACCCCCTAATTTTGACTACATTATTTTAACACCTCATGAAGAAACTAATTCGCAGCCGACCGACCAGCAGTAATCTTACGCATGATACATTATCAGCAACTAGTCAAGTCACATTCTGATCGGTAAAGGCGTGTGTTCAATCCCCCAGACATAGTCTACAAAAGCAAACGCCGAAGAGTGTTGATCAAAAACCAATTAGAGGCCCCGTGACGTTAATTAGACACCTGAGTGTAAATTACAACCACCCGCACAAAAGCTCGACCAGGAAAGCACTCTCACTTTTGGCTACTGTTGTCGTAGGACTATTGTCTAAGCCCAATTTCGTTCGTTCATTATATTGGTCCGGCTATCGGAGGCAGCGGAGATCTGGAAATTGCCATCCAACTCAATCACTCACTCATTCACAAGCACCGCCCGCAGTCGAGTGGAGAGCCCTCAACAACGATGGCAAATGTGACAGATCGAAATCAAATGCACGTTACGACAAGAGAATCAGATAGGTCGTCAGATGGATGGATGGATTGGATTGAATGTATCTCACTCACGGCTAGTTTAGCGATTGTGTGGGAACTCCGGGTACGTTTGGTGTGCCATGCACAAATCATAATAAATTCCCCATCTGACGGCTCATCTTCAATTGCCTTTGCAATTGATTGCTAAAGGTAGGGATGTTGCATTGCAACAAGACTTCAATGTTGTCCTGAAATTAATTAAGTGAGTGTTTGTCTTTAGTTGCTATGCAACAGCTTTTTTCTTAGAATGCTTGAATTACTTCTAGTTATTGCAGATTAGAGAGATTTTCAAGTCAGAATTTTTGCAAAAACAAAAATATAGTCTAGTAGGAGTAGGATTCTGTCAATTTGAACATGGCTATGTTGAATTTCAGGAATTCAAAGAGTTTTAATAAATTATCAACAATTCAAAAGTATTTCAAATGTGTGTGTTTTTTAAATTAAGGCTACTTAAAGTATGTGTAATAATAAGTTTTGCATTTCGGAGAATAAAGTTATATAAAGTCATACAATTGCCCGCCTAACAAACGTTGTAATCTAAAGCTTTTACTGGAATGAAAATAGTACAATGTTCAAACACACAGTCTTTATTTGTATTAAAACTTATAGGAAGGGTAAAGAAAATCTCTAAGTCAAAGTGGCCATTGAATAGATAAAATCTGGAGAACCGGGAATCACAAACAACCGGTAATTTGATTGCAATCATAAAACACATTTGTTATACCTTCATAGACCATAGACCTTGTTAACGGTGAAACTGACATAGACCGGAATCTTAAAATGTTGTGTATGCATGACATTAAAAAAAAACAATTTGTCCGATTTGTCCAAGGAACTGGAACAGGAGTTGGCCAACCACACCATATCCACGCAAGATCGTTTCTTCGGTTTGAACACTACAGATGTGAGGCAACTTGATTATGAATTGGCCGTGAAACTCGCCGAAAGTGATTGGCTAAAAAGCTTCCGCCAAAGACACCCCGAAATTACACTTCAAACCCCCGAAAACACTTCAGTAGCCCGAGATAGATGTTGCAATAAACCGGATCGGAACCATCCCTCCTCTGACGAGAGAGGAATTTTAATCACTGGTGTAATTTGCTTGTCTGCTACAGGAGTCTACGTCTCTCCAATTTTAATGTTCCCACGTGTCCGGATGAAAGATGACCTATCAATTGGAACACTAGCAGGGACGCTGTTCAAGCACATCCCAGCGGATGGATGCAGACGGATTTATTCGTTGACTGGTTCAGGCATTTCCTGCTCCATGCGAAGCCCACGAAGGACGAGAACAATTTGAAATTACTCGATTTGGCTAGAGAAAACCAGGTTACTGTCGTATCGCCCCCTCCGCATTGCACCCATCGCCTACAACCATTGGACGTTTCGTTCATAGGTCCACTCAAGTCGTATTACTCAAAGGCGATCGAAAACCGAGAAAGTAAGGGACAGCGGGTAAAACATACTTTGATTCACTTTTTGCTAAAGCTTACGGCAAGGCAACTCCCCAAGTAACAATTTGGTTTTATGAAGGTTCTGTAGACCATGATTTAGACTTGTAGCATTCTTTAAAACCACTATAAATGTTACTTGGGTCAGCAAGCTACAGAGGAAAATGGTTTTCTATCCGCTTGGTACCAAGGTGTCTTCAACGGTGCATATTTTGCTCAATCTGATATTTCAATTAAACCTGCTGCATGAGGCGAGGTACTGGGAACACAGTTACACTCACGAAATAATTCTATTGGGTTCAAGGAGTATGTATTTATATCACTACAACCGGTTTTCCCGAAATACAATCCGAAAGTCCCAGGTCCATTCATATTAAGCGGCTGTTCATTTGTACTCTTATACGATGCGATTTGGACTGAATCTGTAGTATTTTACGATTCTCTCTCTGTGCATTGTTATACGACTTTTGGTTGTATGAGTCATAATCTCAATAATTTTTTCATGCAATCTCGAACAACGTTTCAGTTCGAGTATTCAAATGTTCGTAGATCTCATTGTTTTCTAAAATAATTTACAAGCTCAATCTAGTAATATTCCAAATTTCGGATTTAAAAAAAATATCTAACTTATGAAATATAATGCAGGGCTGGTAGCGAGTCACTTTTTAGTGACTTGGTCACTTTTTTCAAGCCAGTCACTAAAAAGTCTCTTTTTTAAGGCCAAGTCACTAAAGTCACTTTTTCTTGTAATCAGTCACTATTTTCAACTTTTTTTAGCGTGAATTTATTTTAAGATTGATCATTCTTCGCTTTGTGACGTCGCTTAATGACTTCGCTTTAATCGTCTTTCTCTATCTACAGGGTATCTACTCATCTTTCTAAATAAAATTACCTGAGTTTTCCAGAACTTTAACGGATAAATTCCAGGCTTATCATAAGAAAGCTATTTTTTAAATGCGTTAAAAATATGCTTCTTTGCAGATCAAAATATGCGGCCCGTTAGAGACATCTTGGCGAGCCAAGATCTCGACTATTGCAATTTAATTTATGTGTTTTTAAAACGGATAGATCTGAGGATTTAGTAGTTAGTGTCATCTTGTGTTCTCCCAAGTTGTTAGCTGCCCATCTGTGTACCCCCATATTTGTCTTTTTCATTAGAGTGTCGCTTAGTTCGAGATCAAGAACATATTGCTCTCCAAACCTTGTGTTCTCAATCCCTACCCTGCCATCCATTTGTTACAATTTGGTACCCGTAACCTCGAGATAGCCGCGAGTAATCGGCCCCCGCTTTACTAACGTTAGTTTTAAGTAATTTTGTAACCCAAACAATGAACATCGGCTCCGCAAAGCTACGGCAAATGAGACTCGAAAAATAAACGCATTATAAAAAAAACAATAGCAATTTACCCAAACGTTTTCAAGACATGGCAATCAGTTTTAAAGAAACAGCTTTACAGCTTTAAAGAAACAGCAATCCATTGAATGCTGAAGTTTAACACTTACTTAATTTCTAACTTAATAAAGTTAAAAAAAACTTACTTAATTTGAGTAAGTCCAAGATCTAAAATTATTCAATATCTTAAAGTTTCGCATTCCATGTACAATTTCAAGATATTGAAAATTTTCAAAGTGCCAAAAAAATGATTTCAATTCGATTGAATTTTATTTTAAATTATTTATTTCAAGTTCGTAATTAATTTTATTAAAGATTAGAGATCTTCAATGCAGTCCCATTAACTTCACAATAATGGTAGGAACTTTGGAGAAGTTCTGAGTAATGAAAAGAAATGCTGAGAATTTCAGTGAAGCTCCATAAAATAAGGGAAGTTAATACGCTGAAAATATGGCAAACTCACTGGAAACTTTAAGAACCTCAAAGCGGTTCTTCTAGCATCCGATTTTTTTTAGGAATGAATTTCCTAGAATTTCAGAGAACTTCACATGTGTCAAGCGAACTTGAGAAATATAGAAAACACGATTTTTAAGAAGTTCTAAGTGCCTCAGAAATGCTAGTTCTAGAGATCTTTGGGGAATTTCAGATCTTAAGAGCAGTTTCCGTAGCTTTAGTCCAGACTTTTGGAGCAGTTCAAAGATCTATAATCGTAAATTTAGACAAATTCAGGATAGTTCCATAGTGTGCTGAAAAAAAAATCGAGAACCCTTACGATTTTGCGATTCAGGGATATACAGAGGCCTTCAGAAAAATTATGAAAACTTCAGAAATATTTCAGAAACTTCACAGAATCCCAAAGCAGGGCAATTTAAAGGTGTTTATGGGAATTCTATTTAGTTCCGAGCAGAACTGAGATCCTCAATAGAATTTAGAGCTTCAAGAACATCAAGACAGATTAGAGAATCAAAGGGCAGTTCAAATAATTTCAAGGAATTGTAGAAACCTTAAAGAAGTTTCGAGAAACTCAAAGAATTCCCGCAAACTTCAGCAAAGCTCCGAGAGAATTTCTGGAACGTGATAAAAATTATATGTACATCAGGAAAATGTGAGAGTATTTTAAGGGTGTTATATCATGGAGATTTCAAGAATTTAAAAAAAATGCGAAAATTTAGCTTAGTTGATTAGAGAACATCAACGAAGTTCCATTAATAAAAAAAAATGCGAGAACTTTTAGTAAGCTTCAAGTAAATTCAGAGAACTTCTAATAAATTTAGATATTTTTAGATGGTTTCATAATATTCAGCGAAGTTTCGAGTACTTCGAGGACGATCATATAGCTTCAGAATAATCCCATTAATATAAGCAAATTTGCAGCAACTTACGGAGTTCCGTGGATTTATGGGGTATTTCAAGCATTCTATGATTGATCCAAAACGTCAGAAGCGTCAGGGAATGATGAATATATATCATAAAATTTGAAGGAATATTACACAAATTTAGAGAACTTCAGGTAAGCATAGATAAGTTCAGGGAAAATTAGTGAGCGTTTATAATTATTATAATAGGGTAGAGAACTACTT